TTCCGGTTTATAGCTTTTGTTTTTCTGCTCCGTAGCACATGATTTGTTCCACTCTATAGCACATGAGTTTTTTCCATTATCATAACACATTACAAATCATTGAATTTCTATCCACCCTATATCATATGAGTTTTTCCGCCATTATAGTACATCATAGATTATTGAGTTTTCTTTGCTCTATTGTGCACGAATTTTTTCACCAACAGCAAACTGCAGATCACTGATTGTTTTCCGCTTTATAGCACATGAGTTTATCTGCTCTATTACACATGATATTTTCCGCTCTATAGCACATAGTTTTTTTTTCTTTCCGTTACTTTGGAACATCATAAATCATTCAATTTTCTCATCACTGAATATCACATTAGTTTTCACCACGTTAGCACATCACAAATCACTCTTGTTCTCCGCTCTACAACACATTAATTTTTTCACCATGTTAGCATACCACAATTTTAATTGATATCTTATTATTATTTTCATCGCCTAATGGCACATTATTGATTTAAATTTCATATTCTCACCTTACAGTGAATAGCTGACCTCACTCTACAAGATCATCCATACTTGTTTGAAAAGTCCATTATTGTCAAAATTAATCAAATTTCATATATTGAGTTGCCTTTATCATTGTTTTTTATTTGCTTTTCTATGTTTTTCTCTTTACGACAAATGTACCCTAATTCTGAAGGTTCTTGATGCCAAGGGGGTCATTTTTCCAAAAATAAAATGGCTTGTACATGATGGAACGATGATACACGGGAACTTTTCTTATCCGCCTTAACCCTCTTTTCTGACATCGCCCTTCTTCCGATCCTACCCTTCACAAAAGTCTCTGTGTGCTTCTTTTTGGTGTTTATTGTTTCGTAGTTTCTTACCCCACAACAAAGAATGACTGCTATCAACACCTAATTTTTGCTTGGTTCATCGCCTAACCCCCAATTCACCCTGAACTCCCAATTAGGCCCTCCTAATCTCTCTGAAACACCAATAAACCCAAGAAAACCCAACTTTCAGCCCCAAAGTCCTCAAATCCACCGTTAAATCTGCACAATACCAATTTAATGACCACGATTAACCTCCATCTACACTTTGACCCTCAAATTAGACACTACCATCAAACTCAAGACCTACCAAAATACCTAGGGGTGTTCATTATACGGTTCAAACTCCAAAACCAATCGAACCAAACCAAATTTATGATTTAGTTCATTTTATACCTATAAACGGTTTGGTTCGGTTTGAAAATTTTCTAAATTGCGGTTTGCGGTTTCGGTTTGATTTATTGAATTTTATAAACCAAACCTGATGAGGGGTATTTTGGCCCGACCTGTTAGCACGCGGACTTGTGGAACAACTTACTGACTAGACGATGACCCGACATTTCTTACCACCTCAGCCGACCAGGTTAGCTTGGGTATCTCGGGCACCTCAACCAAGATCGAGGTCTGAGCATCTTGTGATGGCCCAACCTGCTGAGGTGACACGTAGTCCACTTCTAGAAGCTAGCTAGCTGTCTTTGACCTTTTCGAGATCACGACACACATCTACAAAGCCTCATCCTCATCCCGCCCAGGTCAAATGGACTCGATAAGGCTTATCATCTCACACGAAGTCCATCTTCGGGTGCGGAATGGACTCCTGATAATGCGGGCCGGAGATCTCAGTGGTGTTTCGTAAGACCTACGACAACCGCCTATATGAGGACTTCAACCTCAACATAAAAAAGTACGCACGATTATAGCTCACTAGCCTTCTTGCTCACAAAGCTCTTCAGCTCGCAAACAATAATTACTAACTTAAGCATCGGAGTGCCCACATTGGGTAAGCCACCCCGGGTCCTCTGATCTTGCTCTCTTGCAGTTCGACTGGCCATCTAAGTAGACCGACGCCCGAGCTTCTGTCCAACTAGGAGCGACCAAATCACGCACCATCAATTGGTGCCGTCACGCATTTTTTCCTGCATTTTCTCACTCATCCAGTCCCCGGTGTCCTTAATGCCTTTCTTTCAGTGTGTTGGGAATTGCCACCCCCATCCTGAATGATAAAGAAGTACCTATTCTTCCAGGTTAGGACTTTCGAGGGGTATTCATGAAGAAGTTTATATTTAGGCCGATAGGACATATAATAGCTAAACTTGTACTTGGTTGTAGGACTAGCGGGGTTCTATTTTATTGAGCATACAGAGCTTAAGGTATTTATGTCTAAGGGGAGGCCGAAGTCATGGAAAAGAGAAATGGTACCAACTAGGGTACGAACTGAGTTCGGATGAAGCTGATCGATGGTGACGTCAAAAACTTTTTAAGGTCTCAACGATGAATGGGTGAATCAGGAAGCGGAGCCCAGCTTTTAGGTGCTCCGCGAAGACAGTTATTTCCTCATAGTTGTGCTCCCAAGGGAAGCTGCCCAAAGGAAGATTGTAGTCGAAGTGGTCAGTGAATTTATATTGAGCAGCTAAGGCACTAATCTGCTCCCCGGTCATGTGAGAGGGACCGAAGTGGTCTGGTTCACTTGGATGAGCTACTCGAGCAGCCTAATGGGAAGACGCAACCCTTTTATGGGAACCTCGCTAGTCTTGAACCTAGGTTCCCTCCTTAGCCTAACGAGACTCCACCTCTCCTCACTAGAAGGATTACTAGTACTCGACATAATTGGAACAAAGGCAAAGAAAAAAATTGGAACAAGGCAAGACGACTTACCTAAAGAAAGAAGACCAACCTCGAAACAAGACGAAGGGAGTGGGACCCCATGGCCCCTATTTATAGTCGGTATGGCCAGTTACGGACGATCCAGATTGATCTGATCCAACGGCTCCTAAGAGGGCAGTTGTTCGACTTTTGACGTTGAATTTGGATGAGCATGTGTTTGAAGTCCGCGGACTTTATAGTTCGTGTGACATCCGCATGTTCCCGGGACGTGATCTAATTCTAGGGTTGAGCCAATTGAGTCGGTCAGGTTTGACTTGTAGATCGGATGTTGGCCAAGCCAGAGACCAGGCCAAATCCACTCAGACTCATTATAAACTCCCACACCTAGTTGACCACCTCTGGCACGGGAGTGGGGGGCAATTGATGAGGGGTAATTTGGCCCTACCTATTAGCACGCAGACACGTGAAATGACTTGCTAACTAGGCGATGACTCAACATTTCCTACCACCTCAGCCGGTCAGGTCAACTCAGGTATCTCGAGCACCTCGGCTAAGATCGAGGTCCGAGCAGCTTGTGATGGCCCGACCTGTCAAGGTGACACATAGCACACTTCTAGAAGCTAGCCAGTTGTCTCTGGCCTTTCCGGGATCATGACACACATCTGCAAAGCCTCATCCTCATCCCGCTCAGGTTGGACGAACTTGATAAGGCTTATCAGCTCACTTGAAGTCCATCTTTAGGTGTAGAACAGATTCCTGATAATGCGGGGCAAGGATCTCGGAGGTGTTTTGTAAGACCTACGACAACTCGCCTATATAAGGACTTCAACCTCAACATCAAAAGGTATGCGCGATTATAGCTCACTAGCCTTCTTGCTTACAAAGCTCTTCAGCTTGCAAACAACAGTTACTAACTTAAGCATCGTAGTGCCCACACCAGGTAAGCCACCCCGGGTCCTCTGATCTTGCTCTCTTGCAGTTCGATCAACCACCTAAGCAGACCGACGTCTGGTTTACCATCCAGCTAGGAGCGACCAAATTGTGCACCATAAGAACCAAACCGTAAACTGTAAACTGAAATTTTATATACATATATAATATGAATATATGATATATAAATATTATATATAATACATCTAATTAAAATGCATAAAATTATAAATATATAATGAACTCTTTATTTTATAATAAAATAATAAATAGAAGTTACAAGTTTTAATTTTTAGGGGAGTTATTTAGGCTTTCTAATTAGGTTAAGCCCAAAAGAATCATAGAATGGTCTAAATTCCTCAAATCGTATTAGAAACCACACCAAACCGTAATAAAACAGTTTGGTTTGGTTTGGTTTCCTTACCAAAATGGTTTGGTTCGGTTTAGAAATTTCTCAAATTGTAATTTGCCAGTTTGGTCGAGATCTTCTCTAAACAGGACCGTGAACACCCCTAAGAATACCTACCTAGCAAATCTCAACTTAAAATTCTTTCGTTTACCCTCTTATCAAGCGAAGATTTTATTTCGACCCCTCTCGTTAACCTAAAATCCTTGTAACCAAGATTCCTTTGATCCAAAAACATCTGAATCAATCAGACCACCATTAAACTCCGGACACACCAAAACACCTTCCCATAAAGTTTTAACTTGACATTCTCTTATTTACCTTCCCATCAAACTAAGATTCCATTCTAGATTCTCTCATTGACCCAAATTCCTACGGTCTTGACCCCTTGAACCAATCAGACATTACCGCCAGATCTCGGATACCTTAAAATACACACCTATAAAATTTCAGCCCCAAAGATCTTTTTGCCCCTTCATCGCACCAAGATTCCATTTTGAATCCCTAGATTAATTGAATCACTACCCTTCCAAAACTACCCTTGTTTGTCCCTCCATCGCACAAAGATATCATTTCAAGGCTCTAGATCGATCAAATCAAGCCCTTTTCTAGATTTGCTCGATCTGGGCCCAATTGGTCCAATTTGACACCACCATTCAACCCACCCTTCTAAATTTCAGATAAAACTCTCCTCGTTTATCCATTTATTTGGAAATATTCCGTTTCGGCCAATCTTATTGGCCCACACACACAATCACTCTTTACAGTAGACAAATCTCAACCCTCCATGTTTTGACCCAAAATCGCCACTATTAAACCAGAATCCCGGTTTGAACCCCTTATACCCGGTTTGACCCAGTTCTTCGAAACTTACTAAAATGCTTCTAAATTCCCCAATTTTACTAAAATGCGTCTATATTTCTCCAAATTTAACAAAATGCCCCTGAATTTCCCATAATTTACAAAAATACCCTTAACCTTACCTATAAAACCCAGCCTATCTTCGCACTGTTCGTTCTCTCCTTCTCTCGATCCCAAACCAGAAGCGGCGACGACCATCTCTCCTCCATCTCTCCTCCGGTTCCTTCTCCCCCATCTCTCCCTCTCATCCTCTCTCTTCTCCATTATCCCTCCCTGTTGAAACCAGTCCATTCTAATCCACCGAAGTCTACTGTTCACCATCCTCTTCCTCGTGAAGAATGGAACCAGAGGCGGCGGAGAACTAATCCAATCTCCACCTCCGGTCTCTCTCTCTCTCTCTCTCTCTCTCTCTCTCTCTTTCTTATCCCTTCTTCTTTTTCTTCTTCTCCTTCTCCACCTCCGGTCTCTCTCTCTCTCTGTCTCTAGGGTTCTCTGTGACCAAAGAATTCGGGTTTTAGATCAACAGGCCAACCATGGCAACAGCTTCAGGTGCAATTTTTCCTTAATTTTCTCCTTTTTCTAATCATATAATATAAATTTGATTTCCAATCTGTAATGCCCGGATTTTTGTACAAGGGTGTTGTATTGTGTTGGATACTTCAAATTTTAGTATAAATTCTATATCTAACATCTTCCCAGATGTATTCTTGCCGTATCTGGGCAATATAGCTTCTAATTATCATCTTTCAAATGTTTTCTCCTCAATACTCAATAGAGGAGTTGAATTACAAAGTTAGTAAATGATTTCGTTGATTCTGTAGCTATGGGAGGGGTGGATAGGAATCGACTTGAGTGGGGGCATCATGTCCAGATGCTCTTTTGTATGACTGCTATATATTCTGGTTTAGTGTAAATCAGCTGCAAGCATTGTGTTAGTTCCATATAGCCCAATATTAGCACACTGTAATATCTTTTTATAAGATTGTTATGTATTCTTCTTTTACTGTAAAACAGCTATAAGCTTTGTCTTTGTTTGATATAGGCTATATCAGAATATTAGTAAGTGGGCTCTATGGCTCCTCTTATCTAGTTAATTTGAACATTGCTACTGGTAAAAAAAGGCCTTTTTATTGGCTAAAGTGTAAAAAACTGAATTTGAATTTTTTTCTTGTTAGAGGAGGGATGAGAGAGTTTGGGTTGGGCTGTAGGGTCCTCCTATCTTATTATTTCAATAAAGTGCTTTTGAACATTGCCACTGGTAGAAAAAAAACCTTTTATTGGTTAAAGAGGGAAAGTTGAATTTTCATTTTTTCTTGTTGACAATGTGGGGAAAGATGTCTGAGTTATGTGAGAATTCTATATACCAATGGTAATTTTCATGTGCTTTTTTCTTTGGGACACTTTACCAGACGAACTTGCTTCACCATTTGGATTTGTGCATCTCCTCTAAAAGTTAGCATTTTGTATTGGGAGCATAAGTGAGAGACTCTAGAGGAAACAAAAAACCTGGTACTTATCCCCTTGTGTATTCTATATCTAATGAGTGGAGAAAGCATAAACAACCTTTTGACTTGTCATAGATCTCTTTTCCACAAATTTAATATCTAGCCATATAAAGAGGCAAAAAATTTTGTGGTAGTGTACAATGGCTTATTGGGTATTGGCTTTTTAAGGCCATTAGTCTCAGCAGGGTGATGCCTCCCTCTATCTGTGAGCTGCTGCTAGCATGGTATCTGCATGGTTTAAATGTAAAAAGAGATGTCGTTGGAAATTGATCCCTGTGGCACTGTCCTGGATCATCTGGTCTGAAATGAATAGGAGAATTTTTTCAGGGCAAATCTAAAGTCTGTGAAAGAATTAATCAACATGTCTATTGACAGCATTGCTTCTTTTGTTGTATCATTTGCTATTTTTATTGTTATTAATAAAATTTACCTTATTTTTCAGAAAGAAAACAAAAACAAAGATGATCTGTTGAGACTTGAGAGGATGGAAAACAGTGGTCATTTTTCAAGTAATAAATCAGTAAAGACAAGTGGAAGGGAGAGCTCCTGCAATGGGTAGCCTTGGTAACAAAGGAGCTTCAGGAATAGGCAAAGTTGGGAGAGATAGCAAAAAACAACATTCTATTCAGCTTTTCTGGAGGAATGAGGACAGCCGTGGCGCAATCCTCTAGAGACTTTAAAGAAGCCATGGGGGGATCTCTTAATAAGAATGGAAAACCAATCTGATTGAGAGCATCCTTTCGTCCATCTGATCCGTGTTTCTCCAAACCCTTTCAGTCTCATGATATTTCACAAATTGTTCCAGTGAACTCTATCATAAGCCTTCTCAAGGTTTAACTTGCAAACCACCCTGTCAAGGCCTCTCCTTTACAGCATGAAAGATAGCTTAACTAGTTATTCTCATACTGGATTATGCTTACGTATCGAATTAAAAGAATGATTAATATAAATGGATGGTGGAAAAGCATTTAGGTGTGTTATAATAGATGAATGATGATATATGAGTATGAAAAGCAGGTTTGGAGGCACTCATAATCACAAAAGTTAAAGGATGGAATGGTGGATGCTTTTTTGGGAATGAGAGGCACTCATTCCTCTTCTTCCTCTTCCCCTTCCTCCTCATCCCCCTCCTCTTAAGGAGGCTTACGCCTCTTACGTTCTGAACTACACTTCACGCCTCTAGGTAGTGGAATGCCTTGTGTCATGCCTTCGTGTTTTAAAACATTGATTGAGACCTGAAGCATAGGATTCGATCTTTTGTTCTTAGTTGATTTATCCAAGTGGCTATAAAATGTAGCATCAATTCAATTATAAATCTGAATGATTTTTATCCCTCAATTTTTATGTCTATGGATATGCTAAGTTGCTTCTTAGATTGATTACTTCTTAAGTTCCATACAGGGACTATGTCTCCTTTATTACGAAATTGAATACTCTTTGTTAGAGTTACTTCAAAGACATTTGTTGGAGAAAGCTGACAATTGTGATTATGTAGTTTATTGGTTTCATTTGTTTCACTTGGTCTGATCAGGCCTTATTGGTATCTTCTCTCCTTAATTTTTGAAATTCAAAAATAGCTTCTGCCACCCAATAGAAAATGCAGTCCATTGTTGTTGTTGTTGTTAGTTTGCAATGAATGTATCTTACAAATTTGGTGGGATATGCAGTGGCATTTAAATCCAGGGAGGATCACAGAAAACAACTAGAATTAGAAGAAGCACGGAAAGCTGGGCTTGCACCAGCTGAAGTCGATGAAGATGGGAAAGAAATTAACCCTCATATTCCTCAGTACATGTCATCTGCACCTTGGTATCTCAATGCAGAGAGACCGGTAAATAGTCTGTTTGCTTTCCTGTAGCTTACAGACTGCAGTTTATGGTTTTATGTGATTCTAATACACCTTCACTGCTTTTGGTACTCAGAGTTTAAAGCATCAAAGGAAATGGAAGTCAGATCCAAATTACACCAAAGCCTGGTATGATAGGGGTGCAAAAATTTATCAGGCCGATAAATATAGAAAGGGTGCATGTGAAAAGTAAGTGGATCATCTTTTCTTCTTCTTCTTCTTCTTCTTCTTCTTCTCCTGTTTTTTCTTTATTTTGTTGCTTAATATTGATTGGGAACCAAAGCCATCTATCAGTTGAGAACAACTGAATATATACTAATGGCATTGAGTGTAACATTGTATTGAATAAGACAGTTGAGATGGACATAGAGAACTAGGTTAATGTAAGGCACCTGACTCATTAATGTGTTTTGCAGAGTTGTGCCTGCAGATCTTATCCCCCTTTTTCTGTTCTTTTAGGATTACCTGTTCATGATACAACCTGTTTCATTTTTCTGTGTTTGATATTTAATTGACGTATATTATGTGCTCTTTTCCCCATATTTTTTAATCTTTTTAAAAATTTGTGCTTTTCTTTGTTTGGGCAAGTGCCTCACCTTTTGCGTTGGGGCACTAGAACCTATAGCTCTCTTGATTGAATCCCTAATATCTCTAACCAATTGTGAAACTTAATCTTGATTTTTGGGATGAACACTGTAGGAGAGTAGGATACCTTCCTAGGCCCCAGAAATTTCTTAAAGAATCTAGAAAAAACCTCTAAAATAGGTGATTCAAGTATTAATAGTGCCCTCTTTGGCTCTTCCACTATTTATATGGTTGTGACAATACAAGTTTACCAAAATACCTCTGGTTGTGTAACACAATAATAACATACATTTCAATAGGGCCCTACTGAGTCCCTGTAAAAGTGAATATTCTTCATCTCTAAGATTTATTAAAGACAGAGAGAGAGTATGCCTTATCTCCAACATGATTCAATAAAGAGAAAGTTACACTAAAAGATGACCTCCAAAATAGTACTGGTAGCTGATTGGCTTCCTATGCATGCACTGTGTCTGAAATGAGGGCATGGAACCACATATTACTCCTATTTCTTAAAGATAAGGTATGCCATACTTGTACCAACATTCCTCAATAAAATATGATTGAATCTGTTGGGTTTATTCTACATTGCTTGGTTTGCTACTTGCTACAGGTACTTAATTGGTCTTTTTATTTTGATGTAATCCTATTGTTTCTTTGGTTGACTGGTTTTCTGTTTTCTTGTGTTTACTTTCTCATTTTGGTGTGAATGAACAAAACTTTGCTGCAGTGCTACTTCTGTTTTTTCTCTTTTTCTAATAATACAATTCTTTGTTTCTGAGCAAACAAGAAAAACAATTGCAAAAAATACAATAACAATAATCTAATCTTGTTTTATAACTTCAAAATAATTTCTTTATTTGCTTGTTACAGCTGTGGAGCAATGACACATGATAAGAAGTCATGCATGGAAAGGCCTCGAAAGGTGGGATCAAAATGGACAAACAAGCACATTGCACCTGATGAGAAGATAGAGACCTTTGAGTTGGACTATGATGGCAAACGTGACCGATGGAATGGGTATGATCCAGCAACATATGCTCGTGTTATTGAGAGATATGAAGCTAGAGATGAGGCGAGAAGAAAATATCTGAAAGAACAGCAGCTGAAAAAATTAGAAGAGAAGAACAATAACCAGAATGGTGAGGGTGAAGTTAGTGATGAGGATGATGATGAAGATACCCTGAAGGTAGATGAAGCTAAGGTGGATGAGAGCAAACAGATGGACTTTGCTAAGGTTGAGAAGCGTGTGCGCACAACGGGTGGTGGGAGCACAGGAACAGTCAGGTAAATGAGTCTTTTCAGTCTGTGAGTTTAACTGTTAATTCATATGGCCTTCCCAAGATGTAACCTATTTTTGGTTGTGTCCTTGTACTTCATCAAATTTGGTGAAGGATTTTCTTTGTATCTGTTCATTTGGTGCTGTATATTACTCCTGCTGAAGCATTTAATTATAGGAATTTGCGTATTCGGGAGGACACAGCAAAGTATCTTTTGAATCTTGATGTGAATTCTGCACATTATGATCCTAAAACCCGATCCATGCGTGAGGATCCTCTTCCAGATATGGACCCGAATGAGAAGTTCTATGAAGTGAGTATTTTGAGAAACCATGCATTCTATTAGATTGATTTGTGTGCTTCATTGGTAAAACTCATGATATAATGTTTGTGAATCTGACTTTATGATTGTTCCATTCTTCAGGGAGACAATCAATATAGAGTTAGTGGGCAGGCATTGGAGTTCAAGCAGCTTAATATTCATGCATGGGAAGCCTTTGATAAAGGCCAGGACATCCATATGCAGGCTGCTCCCTCTCAAGCTGAACTTCTTTTCAAAAATTATAAGATTATTAAGGAGAAGTTGAAGTCTGGAATTAAGGAAACCATTATGGAGAAGTATGGCAATGCAGCTTCTGAAGAAGAGCTTCCAAGAGAGCTTCTCATGGGGCAAACTGAGAGACAGGTTGAGTATGATCGTGCTGGTAGGATCATTAAGGGTCAGGTAAGAATGTATTGATGCTTCGTGTTTATTGTATATTTTGTTTTGTTTTTGTATATATCTATTTTATTATTCTGTTGTTGTTGGTTAAGCAATAGATATATGTCATAAAAGGAAATCTGCTACTTCTATGTACATGAAGCTTCCCAGTGTTTGCCAAAAAAGGAAATTCCCAGTGGAAAAAAGAATTCTGATTTAATTGTTTAACCAATGACTCTTGTTATCCTTCATTAAGGTTTTCATTTCTGTATCAGTTGCTAAGTATAAATTTTTGCTTTCCTTTTTACTGATTAAAAAAATTTTCCCTTTTCAAGTCCAAAACACTATTTTCAGTTGTATTGGATATCATGTAAACCAGGAAACCTGTTTTTTGGAATCTGGTTTTAACCAAGTATTCATAACCAGGAACAGCCTTTGCAATTGAGGGATTTTAGCTCCCTTCATACCTAGATGACAATGCAGAAATGTTCAGAGATCAGGCTTACCGAGTTTTCAACTTCATGAACTTTTTTGCACATAGTTATATGATGTGCGTGATCATTATTATGCAGCCTCCCTGAATCCAGATGGATGTAGACGCTAATTTAGATCTTTTTAGCCTTGTGCCAACTATATGGGGTCAGCTACATGTATCCTGTTCTGCTCGAACAGGAAGAAGACAGGATGAGGAAAGAGTGGCGGCGAAGACTGTTCCTCTTCTCTCCTTGTTTGAGTGGAACCAGTGGCGGCGAAACTGTTCATTCTCTTCTCTCCCTGTTCGAACGAAACCAGCGGCGGCGAACCCAGACTGTTCATTCTCTTCTCTCCTTGTTTGAATGGAACCAGCAGCGGCGAACCAGAGCTATTCGGTTCTCTTCTCTCCCTGTTCGAGTGGAACCAGCTTTAGCATCAAGATATCCCTCCCCATTTTGACTCAGCTCCTCTAGCTCACCTCCTTAATCTTCTATTCCGTTTCATTCCCAGGCTAGAGGATACACAGTAGCCAGATCGAATCAGACTAAGATATGGAAGCAAGAAAAGAAACCAGGATTGGGAGTCGTGGCTGAAAGTTGCAGAAGGTGGTCGATGAAAATGTTCCAAAAAAGTTTTCCTAGGAGTGTCCAAAGGGGAGGAAAGAGATGGGAAGCTCAGAACTGGTACAAGAGAGAAGGCATGGGGGCGTGGTCAAGACCAAATTTCTCCTACAGAAAAGCGGTGAAAGCAGGAGTTTGGCCGGACTTGGGACGTTTTGATCTGAAAACTGTTGAAGGTAAGCTTATGGTATTTACAGAGATGAATGGGGTGGAAGCAAGAAGTTTTTAAGGGATTGTTTAGTTGGTAGATTTGGGTGGAAGGTGGGGGTAAAGGAGGAGGAGATCTGGGCTAATCAAATTTGGAAGGAGGTGGGGGGAGTGAAGGTGAAGAAGTTGGCGGATGAGCTCTTCTTGTTCATCTTGCCTTCCAGAGCAGAGGCGCGACGGATCTTTGAAAAAGGTCCATGGTCAATGGGGAGGAACCCTCTTCCTCTCGAATGGTTGGGAGCTAGCACGGGCTGTTTTTATCCGGAGTCGGAAAAGGACTTTGACCGGTCGGAGGATATCTAGATTAGGGTGTTCGGCCTGCCTCTGCTTCTATGGTGTCCGAGTGTCATCAGAGCAATCGGGGATGCGTGTGGTGGTTTTCTTGAAACAGATGATTCTCCCTTTGAGCTGGCTACTTGCGAATGGATTCGAATGAAGGTGAAGAAGGGTGGCTTGATTCCGGAGAAGGTGGAGATTGTTGCTGGGGAAGTTCTGTTCTCAGTTTCCATCTGGCCAGAAGTCCTTCCGTCTGTTCGGAGGTGGAAAACGGAGAGGTTCACAGAAGAGGGAACTCAACAGGTAAGGAAGGACTCGATGGGCTCGAAGACAATAGTCTTAGAGGACGTCAATGAATGCTCCCCACTACATGTTCATCCAGTTAATCAAGGGGGAGGACTGGAGCGGGTAAGATCGCCGGAGAAGGAAGAAGAAGAAGATCGATCCTACGGTTTTGATAGTAACCGTTCAATCTCAATACTAACGGAGGGCTAAGATTCAAAAGTCAGGATGGGCCTTGAGGGAAGTGCCTCTGTTTTGAAAATGGGTCTTCTTAGAGATGGTGAGTTGGTCGATAATATTAAAAATTTAATAAAAGAGTGCCTAAGAGACCTAAAAGTGGTGCCTATGAAAGAATGCTCGCTGACGACAATTAATGAGGCAAGAAATCCATTTGGGTCAGCTAAATCCATTTACCCGGCCTAATCAGAAGCCTAGTAGAAAAAAGAACCTTAAAGCTGCAAGTGAACCAAGATGGGCCGAAAGTAGACCAAGACAGTTCAGCCCGACTAGCCTGGATCCAGCCTTTTCTCTGGACCGGTTTGAACCGACATGGATCACCTGACCTTGTGTACAGTAAGGGAGGACTGGGCTTGCCACTTTGAAGATTCAGACCTCTCCTTCCCCTGAAGTAGAGCCTGGTGATGATAGCCTGGAGCACTCGGCCCCCCAATCTTGTCCTTCTGAAATGGTGAAGAAGGTGAAAGCTGATTGCAGAAGACTGAACCAACCTCCCCTTTCCATGGTTCCTTTGAACGAGCAGTTGATGGAGGTGACGCCGCTGGCAGTAGTGGAAGTTGAAGATCAGTTTGCAATTAGGAGCGATACTCAGAATCAACATAGAGTGGTGGAGGAAAATGAGCTAAGTCATGCTGTGGTAGAGAGGAGAGAAGAAAGTGGCCAAATAGTGAGTGTGGGGAATTCAAATCTTGGGACTGTTGAAGCAGGTAAGTCTAGTAGCAGCACTTCTAAGTCCTCTTCCTGGGTCACTTCTAAACTTCTAGGGTTGGGGAGCTTTTTGGGGGTCTCGATGGAGGGAATGGAAGCAGAGACAGTGAAGTTCTTGGAAGAGATAGAACAAAGAATTCTCTTGGAAAGGGGTAAGATGGGGGCTAAAAGAGGGGGGGGGGACAAACTCCAAGAGGAGCAAAGAAATGATGCGTTTCTCTTGGGGCTTGAATGAGAAGGCTGGGAGCAGTGTTGGGGCGGTAAGGGGGTCGAAGAAAAACTGAGAGGGTGGGGGGAGTGAGTTCTAGGAGTGGGAGGTGTTGGCTCTTTTGTTATATCAATGAATATTAAAATTCTTTCTTGGAATGTTCGNAACTGAGAGGGTGGGGGGAGTGAGTTCTAGGAGTGGGAGGTGTTGGCTCTTTTGTTATATCAATGAATATTAAAATTCTTTCTTGGAATGTTCGAGGGCTGGGGTCTGGGAGAAGAATGGTGGTTTGTGATTCCTTAAAGGCTTCAAATTCGGGAATTGTATTGATTCAAGAAACCAAATTGGAGAAAATTGATGCTGGTATTATTCGAAGTATTTGGGGAGATGGTCAGGTAAGATGGATGGCAAAGGCAGCCAATGGGAGTGCGGGAGGCTTGCTATGTCTTTGGGACCCCCTAGTTTGTAGTTTGATTTCTTGCAGATGTGGGAATTTCTCGATCTCTCTTGTTTTGAAGCTGCAGGATGGTAATATAGTTCAAGTCACAAATGTGTATGGTCCAACAGTTTCTAATCTTAGGAGGAGTTTCTAGGAGGAACTGGCTGATATGAGGGGGACTTTGACTCATCCTTGGGTTATTGGGGGAGATTTTAATGTCACCTTGTCGGTGGAAGAGAAGAATACAAGAAGTGGCAGAACTGTATTGATGAGGCAGTTTGCAGATTTGATTAATAATATGGATCTAATGGACATTCCCATTCAAGGTAACAGGTTCACTTGGACAAATAACCAGGATACCCCTACCCTGGTCAGATTGGATAGATTTCTTGTTTCCTCAAATTGGGAGGACATCTTTCTGGACTTTAGGCAGATGTCTCTATCCAGACCTGTCTCAGACCACAGTCCTATTCAGCTTATTTGTGGGGAGAGGGAGAAGGTCAAAATTCCCTTTAAATTTGAAAACTCTTGGTATGAGGAGGAAACCCTCAAACCATTGATGAAGAAAGTGTGGGAAGAACTTCAAGTGGAGGGATCCCGTTCCTTTGTTCTGGCAAAAAAAATGACGGCTATAAAAAAAAGAATTAAAATCTGGAACTTGGAGAATAAGTTAAGGTTGGGGACTGAAAGAAAAGCCTTATTGGGTATTATTGAAGAGATTGATAAAGCAGAAGAAATGGGTCCCATTTCTGAAGAGTTAAGGCTGAAAAGACTTCAAGCAAAAAACAGCATGAAAAATTGGTGGTGAAAGAGGAATT